TGCAGATGATCAGGTATTCTTCTCTTTAATAATTTTGTCCCTGGGCTGGCCCCATGGCTTAGCGGTTAAGTGCGCACGCTCCACTGCTGGCGGCCCAGGTTCAGATCCCGGGCGCACACCGACACACCGCTTGTCCGGCCAGGCTGAGGTCGCGTCCCACATACAGCAACTAGAAGGATGTGCAACTATGATGTACAACTATCTACTGGGGCTTTGGGGAAAAAAAGGAGGAAGATTGGCAATAGATGTTAGCTGAGAGCCGGTCTTCCTTAGCAAAAAGAGGAGAATTAGCATGGATGTTAACTCAGGGCTGATCTTCCTCACAAAAAAAATAATAATAATTTTGTCCCAGCTACTTAGGTAATTTCTCTTGAACTTTTCCCATTCAGCTAATTGCCATCCTTAGCTAAGCTTTCTGACCTTAAAAGCTGTGGGGTGTATGGGCATAGATATTTGTGATAAACCCTTTAGATATTTTCCAGTATGTATGTTTAACTAGGAGTGTTATGTATCTTTTAAAAATAAGCTGAAAAATCCCTGCTGCCATTACTAAAGCTAAAGGCTATTTTATGGGTTTAAACGAGATGAGCGTTCATTGCTTATTTTCCCTCCAGCTTAAATAATGGCTTGAAATATAAGTTTTATTGCTACTTTGATGTATGAGTCAATGTTTTAATCTTTTTTATTTGCATCCTTTATTTCTTATAGGTTGCCCAGTCTCTTTGTGGAGAGGACTTGATCATTAAAGGAATCAGCGTACATATATCCAATGCTGAACCTAAGCACAATAGCAATAGACAGTTAGAAAGAAGTGGAAGATTTGGTGGTAATCCAGGTGGCTTTGGGAATCAGGGTGGATTTGGTAACAGTAGAGGGGGTGGAGCTGGTTTGGGAAACAATCAAGGTAGTAATATGGGTGGAGGGATGAACTTTGGCGCTTTTAGCATAAATCCAGCCATGATGGCTGCAGCCCAGGCAGCCCTGCAGAGCAGCTGGGGTATGATGGGCATGTTAGCCAGTCAGCAGAACCAGTCAGGTCCATCAGGTAATAACCAAAGCCAAGGCAACATGCAGAGGGAGCCAAATCAGGCCTTTGGTTCTGGAAATAACTCTTACAGTGGTTCTAATTCAGGTGCAGCAATTGGTTGGGGATCAGCATCAAATGCAGGGTCAGGCAGTGGTTTTAATGGAGGCTTTGGCTCAAGCATGGATTCTAAATCTTCCGGCTGGGGAATGTAGACACAGATTGTTATGGGTGGTTGGTTGGTATAGACTGGTGGGAATTCAAATTTTTCTAAACTCATGGTAAGTATATTGTAAAATACATATGTACTAAGAATTTTCAAAATTGGTTTGTCCAGTGTGGAGTATATTCAGCAGTATTTTTGACATTTTTCTTTAGAAAAAGAGGAAGAGCTAAAGGAATTTTATAAGTTTTGTTACATAAAGGGTTGAAATATTGAGTGTTTGAAAGTGAACTGCTGTTTGCCTGATTGGTAAACCAACACACTACAATTGATATCAAAAGGTTTCTCCTGTAATATTTTATCCCTGGACTTGTCAAGTGAATTCTTTGCGTGTTCAAAATGGAAACCATTGATTAGAACTACATTCTTTTCTCCTTGTTTTAATTTGAACCCCACCATATGGATTTTTTCCTTAGAAAAATCTCCTTTTTGGAGATCATGGTGTCACAGTGTTTGGTTCTTTTGTTTTTGTTTCTGTTTTTTAACACTTGTCTCCCTTCATATATAAAAGTACAATATGAAGCCTTCATTTAATCTCTGCAGTTCATCTCATTTCAAATGTTTATGGAAGAAGCACTTCATTGAAAGTAGTGCTGTAAATATTCTGCCATAGGAATACTTCTGTCTACATGCTTTCTCATTCAAGAATTCGTCATCACACTGCACAGGCTGCGTCTTTGACGGTGGGTGTCCCATTTTTATCCGCTACTCTTTATTTCATGGAGTCGTATCAACGCTGTGAACGCAAGGCTGTGATATGGAACCAGAAAGCTGTTTGAACTTTTGAAACCTTGTGTGAGGATTGATGGTGGTGCCGAGGCATGAAAGGCTAGTATGAGCGAGAAAAGGAGAGAGCGCGTGCAGAGACTTGGTGGTGCATAATGGATATTTTTTAACTTGGCGAGATGTGTCTCTCAATCCTGTGGCTTTGGTGAGAGAGTGTGCAGAGAGCAATGATAGCAAATAATGTACGAATGTTTTTTGCATTCAAAGGACATCCACATCTGTTGGAAGACTTAATTGAGTTTTGTTCTTAGATAGCCCACGTTAGTTGAATGTGTTAGTGAAACGATACTTGTATTTCCCCTACCCCTTTGTCAACTGCTGTGAATGCTGTATGGTGTGTGTTCTCTTCTGTTACTGATCTGTAAGTGTGGTAATGTGAACTGAAGCTGGTGGGTTGAGAACATGGACTGAGCTTGTGGTGTGCTTTGCAGGAGTACTTGGAAGCAGAGTTCACCAGTGAGCTCGGGGTGTCTCAAAGAAGGGTGGAAGTTCTACTGTCTGTTAGCTACCCATAAGAATGCTGTTTGCTGCGGTTCTGTGTCCTGTGCTTGGATGCTTTTTATACGAGTTGTCAATGTTGGAAATTCTTAAATAAAACTGATTTAAATAATATGTGTCTTTGTTTTGCAGCCCTGAATGCAAAGAATTCATAGCAGTTAATTCCCCTTTTTTTGACCCTTTTGAGATGGAACTTTCATAAAGTTTCTTGGCAATAGTTTATTTTGCTTCAAATAAACTTATTTGAAAAGTTGTCTCAAGTCAAATGGATTCATCACCTGTCATGCATTGACATCTGATACCCAGACTTAATTGCTATTTGTTCTTGCATTGTCCAAAGTGAAAAGTTTTTTTTTCTTTTTAAATCTAGTTTTTAATAAGTCTGGGTGACCACACCTAAAATGGTAAGCAGTACCCTCCAGCTTTTTCTTAGTGCCTCTGTGCATTTGGGTGATGTTCTATTTACATGGCCTGTATAAACCTCCATTGGGAAGTCATGCCTTCTAAAAATATTCTTATTTGGGGGAGAGGGCAAAACAATGTTAATTATTTTCAGTGCTTTGTAGCAAAGCATATCAATTGAAAAGAAGGGAATATCAGCACCTTTCTAGTTTGGGATTTGAAAAGTGGAATTAATTGCGATAGGGATAAAGTAGAAGAAACCACAAATTATCTTGTGCCTGAAATCCATTTAAGAAGCCTGATAGCTTTAAGAAGTAGCAGGGTGGGTTGTCTGTCTGGAAGTGTTAAGTGAAATGGGCTTTGTCCTCCAAAGGTGGGGGAATATAGTAATGTTGAATAAAGTCGTTTACAGAACTCAGATTAGACTCTCACGATGCATTGTGAAGTATGTGAAAGCAATAATATATTGATTCTCTATTGTACTTTTTATGTAACTACTACTTCTGTGAGAGTGGAGCTCGTTTTCTAACAAGAATGTAACAATTTTTGTGTTGATAGTTTACTATTGCCCTTATCTAATTAGATTATGATAAATAGGTTTGTCATTTTGCAAGTTACGTGTTTTAAACTTTTATAAATGAAGTTGTCCTTTGGACTTGTGATCGCCACATTGTTTCGTTATTCAGTTTTCTCTGTAAAAGGATCTTGCGTTGTTTTAAATTTTTTTCCTGCATCTAAATTGCATGATTTCCAAACCCTGTACCATCTGAATTTTGCATTTTAGCACTTGCAATATTACTCAGCAGCAGTAACATGGTAACACTTAAAATGGTATTCGGGGGACCTCCAAAGACTAAACTGACAAGCCTTCAAGGATCCCAGGGGTAAGTTAACTTGTCGATGGCATGGTTTTAATCCCTTATTTATACTTGTGTAAATCTAGTTACCAGTCTTAGAAGGCTTTCAATGTTGAGTAGCCTTATATTAACATGTTTATGGTACTACATAGCTATGGGTATTTAATTCTACCCTAAAAAAATTTTTTTGAAGTTTAGAAGTAAACTATTTGGCAAAGATTTGTTTTTAAAGTCTATTTGGTCATCTACATGCATTCATTCTAAAAATTTTTTTGAACCAGTTGAATAAAAATTTTTGTTGCCACCACAGTTTAGTGTCTGGAGTCTTACTGGAAAAACATAATTTCTTTTTTATATGTAATGAAGATGCTGCAAAGTTACCTTTGAGAAGTGAGTCTCAAAAAGTTGGCAATTTATATGCACAGGAGAAATTAGGCCAATACTCAACAATGAACTTTTACATGTAATGGTAACTCTGGCTAGAAAGAAAAATTTTGTTGAATGTTACCTATTAAAACTTTTTAGGGAGGACTAGCCAACTAAAATGAAATGAGATTTTTAAGATTAAGTCAGAACTTAAATTTGTCCTTAGGAAAAAGAAATGTTAACTATTTAATAATTCAGAAGATGTATGTGGTAATTAGAATAATTTGTTATTGAGTACTAGGAGAGTGTGGCTCTTAATTGTGTATTTGTGAGGTCTGTACTATACTCAGCGATTGTATGATCTGTGATCTGTTGTCTGGTTAAGTGTGCCCAACTATTTCATATTCATTGTAAGAAGGAAACAAACACTAGACATTTATCTATAAGATCATCACTTATTTCTAATGTCGTATTTCATCTTATGGAAATGCCATATTTGATTCAACTGTCTTCTGAGTTTGAACATTATTTAGGTTATTTCCAAGTGCTAGGAACATCCTCACAGCTAAATTAAATTCTTAGCATTAGAATTACTAGGTCAAAGACTATGCATGTTTTTAAGGCTTTTAAAATATATTGCCAAATTGTCCTTTAGAAAATTTATGTGGTCTTTGACAATATGAAATAGTGCTATTCCATGTTCTTTTTGTCTGCCAATTTGATAAGTGAAAAATTCTGTCTCACTGTTTGTGGTGTTGGTTTTTAACATGGAAATCTGTCAATACCAAGGCTCAAGTATTGATGTTTCCAATTTATCCACCAAAAAAACCATGATTCAGAGTTATTCCTGAACCAATACTGCTGTATTAAAGCTCTTTTAGAGACCAATAAGAGCAAATCCAAAAACAGTAGAATAAAGAACATGAACAGGCAATTTATAGAAATGCAAACGGCCAGTACAAAAAAAGGATACTGGACTTTGTAATTAAATGCAAATTTAACCAGTGAGTTTCTACTGGATTGGCAAAGATGAATATTACTCTAATGTTTTATGTCCCCTCAAATCTAAGTAAGGGGTGAAAAACTGGCAAGCTGAGAACCGCCTGTAATGGCATCCCACCTGTAGTTTGGTGTTGGTTTTTTGGTGTAGCAACAACTGCCATGTTAATGTTTCTCAGGTCACATTGTGCTGCTAAGATCTTTTACAAGTAATTTTTAAAAATAAGGAAATATTTACTGATTGAAAACATAAAATTAAAAATTATTAATTATGTTCTTGATCCAGGGAATATAGTTAATGACCTTTGTGTAGACCCCATACTGATCTGCTTCCCCACAATTAATGGAACCCCAGGACACTATTCCTCCCACAAACCACTTCTGTGTCGCATTATCTAGAAACACTAATGCCCCTCCACTGTCACCTTTACAGCTGTCCTTGCCCCCACTTTCTAAGCCAGCACAAAACATGTTGTCAGTTACCCTTCCCCCTGGATAGATCTTCTTTTCGTATGCAGCAGTACATTTTTGATGGTCAGCAATTGGTATGTCAACAAACTTGAGAGTTCTGGCAAGAAAACGTCTTTGGGTTAATCCCCATCCAGATGCGGTTCCAATGTCATTTGTCCTCATAAAGGATTCAGCTTCTTTTCTTGGCAAACAAATAGGCATCACATTGCTATTGATTACAACTTTGTTCTTCAATTTAATCAGTGCTATGTCGTTATCAAAACCAGCATCATGAGTGTAACCTTCATGTGTAAAAATTCTCTCAGCCCAGGCTTGTGTATAATGAGGTGACAGTCTCTTCAGGGTACCCATTCTAATGTCTAGGGAGGAGGCATCTTCTCTTTGCCCATATACAGCGTGAGCAGCTGTTAGGATCCAGTTGTCATATAAAAGTGCACCTGCTGCTGTGGCTTCACCTAATAACAGGACTTGCCAAGGAAAATCACCAAGCTTTGCATTTTGCCCTCCATATATACGACCTTCTGTAGTACGGGTTGATATTCCACAGACTGGGGAAAGAAGCAGATGTATAGAGCCTTTATAGAAATCTCCAATTATTACCACTTCGGAGTTGTGTATATTTAATGTCAAACAAGAATTACATCTCATGAATTGGTGGGTGTCCTCCTATACAGGCAAGTGAGGCTGCTTTAACACAGCACAATTCAAAGACCCATTGATATTTCTTAGCTCCTCAGAAAACGAGGTGAGTGAAAATTAACTTTTAGAAACGAATTTGTTTTGCTAAAAAAATTGGTCTACACGACTGGGGAAATTATTTTATAGGGCAGACAGGAATTGTCTGAGCTGGTGCAGTGGGTGATATGCATAGAAAGTGAAAGGAAATAGCCTTTCATTGCTTATGTTTCCCTACTTGTAGAATGGGGTATTTATTTACCATGTAGTTCTGGGGAAGCAGGAACTAAGGTCACTGTCATAAGATTTGTAAAATTACTTTCACCTTTGAACATTTAAATGTTTTAAAAATCAGAATGTTGCAGTTGTAGCCAGGAACCTTCAGGTTCAGAAATTACTATTTTTGGTCTTGTTGATTCTTCCAAACGCTAAGTTTTACTGTATATTGTTGACTAAGTATGCTCATTAATGTAGCAGATATGTTTCCTGTTGTGGCAGAATACTTGTTTAAAACTTACAAACGTTGTGTCAGCTAAGATATAGGATTTTTAAAAAACTAATTTAAGGGCCGGCCCCGTGGCTTAGCGGTTGAGTGCGCACGCTCCGCTGCTGGCGGCCCGGATTCACATCTGGGGCGCGCACCGACGCACCGCTTCTCTAGCCATGCTGAGGCCACGTCCCACATACAGCAATTAGAAGGATGTGCAGCTATGACATACAACTATCTACTAGGGCTTTGGGGGAAAAAATAAATAAATAAAAATTATAAAAAAAAACTAATTTAAGCCAAATAACACAAGGGTAATGAATATAATATTACCTTGCTGATTTTTTTTTTAATCACTCTGCTTAACTATATCTTCAGAGCAAATTCTGGTAAAAAAAATTTTTTATGTACTATTAAAGGGCAAATTGCATTAATGTTTAAAAACTAAATGTCATTGAAAACAGTTGCTTAGGGAAATAATGAAGTTATTAGCTTTGGGTTTTAATAGCATTTTTACAGAGAAGAAAAGTAACTCAGAAGAACTCATGTTTATAAATGTATAAATGGTTCAAGATAATTTTAAAAATCATTTAGTTTTTTATGCTTGCCTAATTGTAAGGTCAAAAATAATCAAATGACTGATGCAGTCAGCACCTAACGCCCTCTCCGTAGGGAAAGGGAATCATGAGAACATATTATCTGGAAATAATAACTTGGTCTAAGCCAAGTACTGAAGTTACATTTCTGCCTCCCACAGCTAAAGCTCTGCTTATTGTCTCCTACCCAGTTCTACTTTCCATCAATTACCAGTCTCTTGTATAAATGTATCCATTACCAGGCTCACAGACGGGGAGTGATTTTTCTCCTTTGGAGCTCGTCCAGAATCCATCAGCCTCACACACATATTTACCTGCAAATCATTGGAAAAGCAAAAATGTTTAACTGCATGTATAAGGTGGTTGTCATTTGCTTGAATACCCCCTTGAAAAATGTTGATTCTTGAGTATCAGTGGGAAATAGAGGTGTCTGAATAACCATTTTACATGATTTCATAAATAGGAGGTCCCTGCATTACCATGTTTGCTTGCAAAGTGGAAACCTTTTAGATGTGTAACTTGAATATGTATCAAGATCTCAAGTGCTTAATGATAAGGTTTTGACTTGTTAAATTAAACCATTTGGAATATATTGTGTGTTTGTAGTAGTCATTTACTGGATAAGATCTGTTTTCAGATTCTTGCAAATTGACATTAAAGTCACTTAAGCTGTAATATTTCACTTAGCAGATGGGAGAAGTGCTTTTTTATCTTTTGTCTAGCCTTTGCCAAAAATGTTGGTTCAAGTATTTTCAGATCACGAGGGCTTAGGTTCCAAATACCACCCATCCCCAGCTTTGAACAGTATGCTTACCATCACTTGTTGTCATTGTGTAGAAGGTTCCATTGCAGTGGTATTGAATCTCAGCTTTGTATGTGGTCATTTCAGGACCTGTGAGATACTCCACTTGGCCATTGGGGAGATAATCAGGAGGGCCACAGTCAACAACTAAGAAATGTGGGAGGGAAGAGTCGGTCAGTTTGTACTGTACTGACAGTGAAAAGATCTGGAGACTGTGATGATGGGTGGTCGTGCCGCGTGGTGCTTAACTTAAAGCCCTATTCATGTTCCTCTTTTATGTGGACATCATTAATTTCATCTCAGAAATTGGGGAGAATCACTTTAGTTTGATTTTAAAGCGTCCCTCTCATCCATGTTCTTGCTAAATGGCTAGATGGAAGTGAAGTCCCTGGGGAAGGAGTGGTCTGATGCGTTTCCTAAAGGAAGAGAGTTGGAAACCACGTGGACTTTCTTAGCGCTCTCACTTCCAACATAAAGGTCTGCAGCCGAAGAGCAACACGGGAGGAAGCAGCGGCACGGCTTACGAGTGCCTGTCCCAGGTGGGGCAAGGGAAGGGTACTCAGTTTGCAGTCCCTTGTCCTTGAAGGTAGAAAATGACAACAATACAAAGATGACTCTGAAGGACACACCTTGTTCTTAAAATCCTTTTCATAAATTGAACTTCTTAGAACACCTGGAAGTCATAATACCTTGAATTTGGATTAGAATTCACCCTTGTGACCTGCAACTATGCTATACAACTATGTACTGGGGGCTTTGAGGAGAAAAAAAAAAGAATTCACCCTCGTTAAGACATTACTAGTATGAAATAACCAATTCGTGAGACAAAGTGATATCAGTCTAAAAGTTGCTTCTCCACACAGTAGATGTCTAAAAATTATTGATGTTTCTGTGGTTATTAAAAGATTACATTTAGATAGTTTTCAGCAACTTAATAGGTGCGCCTGGCTCTGTGCCAAGTGCTTTGCCCACATTGTCTGCTTCCCCATAGATGAGATGCCTCAATATCCAGCGAAAAGGGGGCTGAATCTGAGTCGAAATGCTCCTTTGGCTGCCAAGCTCGTCTTTACTGGTTTTTGAACTAGAAGACTTGGTAGTCTAATTGGTGGGAATGTAAACTTATGAAATGAAAACATTTAAATTCCATTAGGAATTCTGTAGAACATTTGCACAAAATATGCAAAAATATAGAGATATTAACTACAGCAGTATATGTGATAGTAAAAAACTGAACCATAGAAATCAGATTAAAAGTATACATATGTGATAGAATACTATGCAGTTAAAAAGAATGAGTGGCTCTGTTAATACTTGAATTGGTGTGAGAAGGTCCCAGCAATGTGGAGGAAAGCAGCACATTGCAGTCAGATTAAGTATCCCATTTTGGTTAAAAAGTATATAATAGTGGCCAGCCCGGTGGCGTAGCAGATAAGTGCGTGCGCTCCGCTTCGGTTAGGTGCCCCAGGGTTTGCAGGTTTGGATCCCCAATGCGCACTAACGCACTGCTTGTCAAGCCATGCTGTGGCGGCGTCCCATATAAAGTAGAGGAAGATGGGCACGGATGTTAGCCCAGGGCCAGTCTTCCTCAGCAAAAAAAGAGGATTGGCACCGGATGTTAGCTCAGGGCTGATCTTCCTCACACACAAAAAAGTATGTAATAGTGAAATATGTTAGTATACATAGCATAGGAGATAAAGAATGTGAAGAAGACGACTGCAAACTCTTAGTGGTAGTTTGGGGATTTGGGCAAGAGAGGCTTTCACTGTATATTTTTTTCAAATTAACATGTATTTTACAATTGAAAAAAATACTAAAAATGAGGTGTGTGATTCTTAGTTCATAAAATGGTAGTGTACACCATCACCCCAGTTTGGTGTGTGTGTACACATATACATATATACACAATTACCCCATCCCTGGATACAGTAGCCTGTATCCAGACTACACCTGGATAGGCTACCTACAGTAGCCTGTAGGTGTTTACACGTGTGAGGTGTGTGTGTAATTGGATAGACACCAAAATGGTAACAGTGATTGCACTATCATTTGGTGGGATTGCGGATATTAAGATGTTTGTAATTTTCTGTTTCCCATCTATACAAGTATTTTGTACTTAGAAAAAAAATATATGTGGGGTTTTTTTTGTGGGGAAGATCAGCCCTGAGCTGATATCTGATGCCAATCCTCCTCTTTTTGCTGAGGAAGACTGGCCCTGAGCTAACATCTGTGCCCACCTTCCTCTACTTTATATGGGACGCCGCCACAGCATGGCTGGACAAGCAGTGCGTTGGTGCGTGCCAGGGCGAACCCTGGGCCACTGAAGCGGAACGCGTGCACTTAACTGCTTGCGCCACCTGGCCAGCCCTAGAAAAATTTTTTTTTTTTTTTTTTTTTTTTTGGTGAGGAAGGTCAGCCCTGAGCTGACATCCATGCTAATCCTCCTCTTTTTGCTGGGGAAGACTGGCCCCGAGCTAACATCCGTGCCCATCTTCCTGCACTTTATATGGGACACCGCCACAGCATGGCGTGGCAAGCGGCACGTTGGTGCGCGCCCGGGATCCGCACCTGGGCCGCCAGCAGCGGAGCGCGCGCCCTTAACTGCTAAGCCATGGGGCCGGCCCCAGAAAAATATTTTTAAAGATTACACTTTTCTAAAGCAAATACTTGTCCTAGTAGCTTGGTCCATTTTAACCTGTAAGAGCGCACTGAGAGACTGGGAAAGAGAGGCAAATTTGGAATTCAAGTCTGATAAAGAGAATCATTTTGAAAAGAGCAGAAGCAGTTACGGGAGTCGTGGTCATGTGATCGTACTGCTGCACTGTGGCATCGGTTGGTCCCAAGATCCGTCTTTCTGACAGACTGCCGCAAATGATTTCAGGGGCAGATAACCCTAAAGAGGAATTCAGAAAATATTAATTTCCTGTTTACATCATAAAATCCCTCCCCAAAGCTGCGCACCCACAGTAGTTCCTCTTCTGGCATCTTACAAGATGCTCCCAAGGGGGTGGACGCACCCACATGCCCGGACGCACAGCCTGGCTGTGCCCTGACATGCATATGTGCTGCCAACAGCTCTGCTGGCGTTGTCATCTGTGCTGTATATCACCTTTCAAGATGTACTGGCATTTAGGAATCAAATGTTGATCTCTGCAGCAATTTCTGTTTTTTGCTTTCCACTTTAATCCAGGAACACATCATATCCCACAAGTTGCAGCTGATGTTCCACCATTTCTTTATATAAAGTACCAAAGGGTGGTGGTCAACAGTTTGGAAAAAGCCAACCTGATCAGACATGGAGCAAATGTGTCTGGATTTTTCTAGCCGTTTTCCAGCCTCCATTAGCTGGAGGAAAGTTACTAAAAATACTTCGTAACCTTCTAGTTTTCTAAAATCAGACTTTAAAATGAAGGAAGATGGCTTTGGCAGAATATGCTTCGAAAGAGAGAAGAATGTTTTGTTTTGTTTTTTTAATCAGAAACTAAACAGGTTTGCAGTCCAAGTGGCTGTGGACAAGAGCCCGTCCTAGAAGTTTCAAGGTGAGGGAAGCGTCTTTTTGTTTTTGGTTTTGCCCCTGCACAGGACTGGACTGCGTAGCTAGCTATCGTTGTTATTACTTTTTACCACTGGGATTCGGTGACAATTTTGAAGAACATAAAGAGAACGTGTTAATCTCTCACCTGTGCCCCTAAAAGCAACTCTAAGCATTTTTTAAAATTATCCTCTCTCTCCCTTAACAGTGGTCACTATTTATAACTTTGCAGTGTTTACTGTTTCCCAGCGCTGTCTAATCTTTTGTAGTTGTTTCATGTAAGGTCAGCATTTGTAAGGTCGTGTAAGTTGGGAGTTGTTTCATGTAAAGGTCATCATTTGACCAGGGGGAGGAGCCTAATCACATGGGACAAGGACAGCACACTCATCCTTCTGTTGTGTCAGCCACTCTACCAAGAGCTGCTGTCATGTGTGAACAGAGAGAAATTGTCCATTTTAGTCACCAGCTTCCAAAGTAGTCTTTTTAAAAAAGGCAGAATTCAGGGCCAGCCC